CGGAATATATTTTTCTTTAACTATTTTTTTGTATAATTTTCTTTTAATTATTACTTATTAAATATATACCTTTTATTTCATTTAATTTTACAAACTAATTTTTACTCTATTTTATTTTTTCAAAAAGAAAAATGTATATTTTTAATTTCATGAGTGTTTAGAAACGTATTTTATTACTTCTCTAACTTTTAATTAAACATTTTTTATTTTTTCCATTTAATTTACTTTAGGTTAAGATTTTATTGTTTTAAAAAATCCTTTTTTTTAATTTCATTTAGTTTTAGGGATCTTAATTTGATTTTTTTTTTAATTTTTAGAATTGGTTTTAAAAATAAAATATTTTTTTAATTGCACTTAAAATTTAAGCCATTTTCTTCTTTTTAGTTTGTTTTCATTTTCTAATGTAATTTTTAGATTTTATTGTATTAAAAGAAAAAATATATTTTTTTAATTTCATTTGATTTTAAAAAATATTTATTTATTTTAGCTGTATTTTCATTAATTGTTTTTTATTTTGTAATTTAATTTCACTTATTTATTAGTTTTTACTGTTTTTGTAATTTAACTTAATTTTTAGAAAAAACCTATGATTGTAGTTCATCTGTGCTGGAGTCAAAATGGGTGCGCTTTTGCATTACGCAAGGCGATTTACCGGATTTTATGAGACAATTGGAAGGCAATCCAGTAAGTTTTTTTATGTCGGCCCAGATTTTCTTAGAAACGGATGACGCACTAATGCATCTGGTGAATTTCTGCAAACAGTCCAGCTTAGCATATATGATTTCCCTGACGAAATGGCGCATTCGGATTTTTTTATTGAATGAGATTTGTGGTGGATCGTTTATGTTTTTCAATGTAATTGACTTAGTTAATATGCGCTGGGTATAAAATTGTCTGTTACATTTCGATGGCAACACTTTCACCTCCTTCTTGGGACTTTTTACGATAGGCAAATACTATGGATCAACTTTATATGCACATGTGCACATGTACATACATATATGCAAATACTTACATATGTGCATACTCACTATATTTGTGAGTATGTGAATATACATACATATGTAAAAGTTTGTTACAAAGCCTTTATGCTGCCTTAATGCCAATCTTTTGTTATGCTGTACTCAAACTTGACGTTCCTCATGGTTGCCTTATAATTGTATGTTATTGTTGTTTTTGTGCCTTCTTATATTTCAATCATCATTGTCTTTGTCATTATTTGTTGCATTGTCATAGACTACTTACTATGTAGAACTCCTTCGAATTTTCGCCTCACTGCATTCACAACGTGTACTTGAAAGTAGATTCGCTTCATATCATGATTAAAATTTAAAGTAAATTTGTTTTTTTTTTTTTGTTGCATTCACGCTTTTTTTTCGTTCGAAAATTTGCTTTGTTCTGCGGCATATATCAGGCGGAAGTAATCTACAGCAAATATGTTATGATACGCGTGTGTGGAAGCGTAGCAAAAAGTATGAAATATGCTTAATTTATAGAGTAGTAGGATGGGTAAGCGAGTCTTGTAATGGCAGAATCTCACTGAAGATGATGTGGAAGTATGTTTTTGTTCAATTTGGAATTGCATCATTAAAACTTTATCATTCAAGATTTTATTGAACCCAAACCATATATGTATCAGTCCTGAAAACGTAACAATTTTACGAAAAAAAAAACAAATCGTCAAATCTTCTCAGCGGCTCGCAAAGTAATGCCGTTTTATTTTAACAAAGACGGAGTTTCTACTTCGATGCTTCTAATTTGTACAAAGCTAAAAGGCTTATTACATTGCTTAAGGTCTAAATAATCTGTTTGGGCGCGCCTAAATTCACGCTATTAACTGCTCCATGTGCAAAAATTCGCTTTATGTAATTTATGAAATTCTTCCCCATTGCCATATAATAAAACTTTCTTAGAGCCTTGTAACCTGGCAGCCACAGTAGCTGAATGCTGTTGAATTCCACAAAGGTGTTAAGGTTCTTAACGCACTTAAGAACTAAGGATGATTTTATCTCAAATGATGGAAATGTCTTAAGTGCTGCCTGACTGTCGCTAAGGATTAGTAAGGACAGTACGTCTGGCGGCCTGCTCTATGGTGATGTGCAGTGGCTCCAAACCAATAACCAAGGCATTTCTTGAAACCCAAGTCACCGCCTCATAGGCCACCATTGGTCGTACTATCATGGTGTACATCCATTAAAGGATATTTGGGCTGCAACCCCAAGACTTGCCTGGTAAACGCCTGCAGCCTTTCATGTGGTCCCGTCAACGTGGGATTTCCACAGAAGCTTATAATCCATGATTAGACCCAGATACTTAACCTCGGCAGTGGCCTTAACTGCGACCTCTTTCAAGGTTATTTTCCTCTTACCTGGAAGGTTCATCTTCCTAGTGACGGGTACGATGACTGTCTTAGACTGTCTACTTCATGAAACTTTTCAAGAACGCCCTATTTCAGAATTTTATTGAAAAACGTCCTAACCCAGAATTTGGTTGAAGAACGCCCTATATCAGAATTGGGTTCAAAAACTCCCTATCTCACTTCAAAATACATACATACATATATTGAAAATGTGATGAGATAGGGCGTTTATGAGTCGGCGGCAGAGATAGGGCGTTTTTCAAACGAATTCTGGAATAGGGCGTGGTTCACCAAATTCTGAAATAGGGCGTTCTTGAAAAGAGAAGGCCTTTTCGAACTGGCTGCCGAGATAGGTCGATCATCCACTCAGCAGTCGATTTCTTCTTGAAATGAATTTATATTCAGGATTCATTCGGCAAAGAGTCGGCTTGTTAAATCCTGAATATAAATTTATTTCAAGAACAAATGCTTCTATAAACTTTTATAATAACAAAAGAAAAACATAACCAAAAACGGCCGATGCCGGTTCTTTTGGCCGGACTCTAACTCTGGCACACCAACTCTCCGTTAAGCTAAGACCTCTTTGTACCACCTCACAAAGGGCACTCTCGAACTTTTCTTTGGCTATCAAGGAAGGCGCATAGCACAGTCTCTTCATACTCAAGGGCTCCCTCTATCAATCTACTCAGTGCGTACAGAGCAGTGTCCGTTCACTTTCATAGCGTTAAATATAATTTCATTATCTATGACCTTCTCCCTTGTTTTCAGCATGCTGTTACAATGAAAACAACTTCATATATTTTTTTTTTCAAACTAGCGTCGAGGGCTAATTTTTACTGACGCGTGTTAACTTTGTACATTTTCATAAATTTTGGCAAATTTGCGGCACTGTACACTTTTTGCCAAATTCAGTGACATATGTCGTCAAATAAATGAAAACACGTTGTCACATGCGATTAGAAAACGGTATATCGACTGAGTTAGATCAGGATAGGTCTTCAGTCGTATACAGGGGCTGCAATACCAGCTATATGTTTGCTTTTGGCCCATAATATCATCAGCGAAGGTGCGGCTGAAAGAGATAAAATTGTGTTAAAATATGTCGACAAATTTTGATGTCAAAATATGACATAGTGAAAACCAGCCTTAAGTTTCTTTTTGATATTTCATTGACACTGGCTAAATCCGATTTTAGTGGCCTCAGTTACTATTTGGGCGTTCACTTGATAAAACCGAATATTAAAGTAAAGTAGAACGACGAACTGATAACCTCCTCCTTTTTTGGAAGTCGGATAATAACTAGCTGTTTTCGACGAGTTATAAAGCACTTGTCTCTTCATATCTTTTTCAGCAGCTTTAGTAACAGCGTGCAGCTTAAATTTTGGCTAAAGAAAGCCATAGAGGTGAACATTTCCACTACAAATTTTAAACTTGTAATATAGTAAATATACTCTGAAATAAAAAAGTACATATTTTTACTCTATTGTTTTGGAAAAAAGCATAATTTTAAATCTAGCCTGGTGCTACTTTCGGTCCTCCAAATGCGAAAAGAATAATAAAAATTAAATACATATAAATTTTTAAAATTTTCGAAATCAATTTTCACAATTTTAGAAATTATCCACAGTTTAGTTTAATTGAGTAGATGTAATAAAGGCCACTAGAAATATGATCCATTATTAAAAATTAGCACAAAATCACACACTTCCACAATGAAAGATTTTTCAAAAAGTATAGAAAATCAACTAAAATATTTTTTAGTTTCAGTAAGATTATAAATTAATTTTTGAACACTGCCACACCCCACAGTAGCTTGGCGAATATCCTTATTGATAGTATTATAGCCTTTTCTGCGAATCCTTGAATGAATTTTGTTCCTTTTCTTATTCCACACATGTATTATATTTATTATAATAAATTTTCTAAACATTGAACCTACCGTGTTTTATATAGTCAAATTTTTCAGTCTTCCTTCATTGTTATAAGGAATTATTGATACAAATTGTAAGGAATTTTGTGGGGAAACATTTTTAAAAGCGTTGGAAAAGTGGAATTTTATTTTATTCCAAAAAAGTACGTACCATAACTGTTGGCAAATCGATGGCGGTTGTTTTCACAAAAGAATACAACCACAAAATAAAATTTTGCTGCTGACACAACCAATATACTTACACACTTATACACACGCTCGAATTGGGAAAACCATGGTGTAATAAACACTATGGGGAAAACGAAATGCGCTATTATTATTTATTAAATTACCACAAATAAGATTTAAAAACTTCGCAAAAATTCCATTATTCCCGCCGGCGCACAAATTTACTACATAAATCATTCACAATAACTAATCTCAGCTAAGGAAAAGGAAACAAATTTAATGAAAAAGGAACTAACAAAGACTCCAGACACAGGGTCGTTCAGATGACTGGATTTTATTATATAAAAATAATAAAAAAATAAAAAATTAAAACAAACGCCCATATTAATTTATTTAAAAATTGTAGCAAGCAGTACTTTTCTTCAGTCAAAGTTATTTATAATTTCCAGTTGAGTGCAACCTTAAACACTGGTTTAATAAGACCAAATTGTCTACTGTGAACAAATTGAAACTGCAGGGTAATTTCGCCATAGAGCGACACTTTCTTTTGTATTTGGTATGAGCTAACAGCTGTCAACTAAAACAATGATTCATATTAGTTAAAATTCCACAAAACAATCACTACTGCGAAATTAAACAATTTGTGCAAGATAAAATCGAAATTTTATCTCAGCAAACAGCGAACCATACTTTAACTTGTGCAGCCTTATCTCTACTCTTCATTTTGTATATAAGCCACCAAACTGGGTAACGAAATGTCCACTTCGTCTATGGAAAGTAAGTGGAAAATTTCAACTTCTGCATAACTATAATAAATTCAATCCAATTTACAATTGTCAATCGTTTTAGAACATCTTTTCAATCTAAAATTTGCTGTGAAAGAGCTGGAGCGCAACTCAAAGAAATGCGAAAAAGAGGAGAAACTCGAAAAGGCAAAAGCCAAGAAGGCCATACAGAAGGGTAACATGGATGTGGCGCGTATTCATGCAGAAAATGCAATACGACAGAAAAATCAAGCTGTTAACTATTTACGTATGAGCGCACGTGTAGACGCAGTTGCAAGTCGGGTACAATCCGCGTTGACTACACGAAAAGTTACCAGCTCAATGGCTGGCGTGGTCAAAGCAATGGATGCTGCCATGAAAGGTATGAACTTAGAAAAAATCTCTTCGCTCATGGAGAAGTTCGAACAACAATTTGAAGATTTAGATGTACAGAGTTCGGTAATGGAGAATACCATGTCTGATACGACTACAACGTCGGTGCCACAAGGCGATGTCGACAACTTATTACAACAAGTGGCCGATGAAGCTGGGTGGGTGGATATGAAATTGAAAATTGGATATTTTATATTTTTATATTTTTTTATACTACTTGCGCAGCTTGGAGCTCAATATGGAATTACCTAGTGGTGTACAGAGTTCAACTATTGGTGCATCTACACAAGTTTCACAAGAGCAAGACGAACTAACTCAGCGACTGGCACGATTGAGGCAAGCCGAATAGATTTGGTGCATTTATGATTTCAGATTTTCAATCTGGTATTAGTGGGGTTAACGAAAAACAGTTTTTATATATCATTTATGTTGCGCGCTTTATTTTCATATGCTCCATGTTGGGCGAATGTGTTGTACATGAAATCTGCTTCATAAGTTTAAAAATCAATAGAAATTACCCAGATATTTAGGATAATTCACGCCTTGTTCAATTAAAAGTTTTACATTGCATCTCAAATATCTTGTTTGAAATGTACGAATTGTTGTTGCATTAGCAACTGCTGCTGCTGCTGTTCGGTGAAGTGCTGTTGTTGTGGCAGTTGTTGCATTGTTCCTTCAACGGAACCTGGCTGCAGCGGTAGTAGGTTCTTTTTCATGCGCTGCTTCCGTACCTTTTTAACTTTGACATCTGTTGGCTCTTCTGTGGGAATCTTAGGTTTGGGCTTGGGACCGCGCTTTTGTTCGATTTTTCGTTTTGGGTGTGGTGCCACCATTGGCAATTGCCGCCATACGTCATTGTGCTTGTCAAGGCGCCGTTTCAAAAGCTCTACATCGCGGGTGCGTCGTCGAAGAAGCTTCTTAACCGTATTTATGCTAAAGGGAGGATGCAAATTAAAAAATCTTTTGATAAAAAATGTACATAGAACATTTTAAATAACTACCGGAGCACACAGCGCTCATTTTCAGTTTGTAATTCCTGGCAGCGGTGATAAACTTTTTCAGCGAGTAATTTGTACTTTTGGGCCTTTTCGTCGAGTAGCATGTTTGAATATAATTCAATTAGTAATTAAAGTAACATTTCTTGGTTAAAAAACAATTGTCCCGATTTTCTTTAATTTGTACGCTTGGAGCTCAAGATGTAAACAAACAAACTGTTCAGGTGGGCTCAGCTGTCATTTAAATTGATCATTCACAGTCGATTTTGGTAAATTTTTATAAGGCCTCTTTTTTTATTTTTTAATGTATATGAATTCATTTTATAAATAAAAATCAGCCTTGGAAAATTTGGCGTAAGTCTAGAATACCAACGGTTTAGTAATAGGTAATACAACATTAATTTTTTTCAATTTACGCCAGCGAAACCCGTACAGTAATTTTTTGGCATCCGCCAACCCCTCTCATAAAGTCTCATAAATCAACGCACACAGGTGATTTTGCTGCGCCCATTGTTATAATTGTGAAAAAGTAAAAAAGCCGACATTTGTCAACAAAAAACTAAAGGACTCTGCGCATTGCTGCATAGCGTAAGGCGTTATGGCTTCTTCGTCCAATCCAAGTCTGAGTGGATCCAACATAGGAGCCAATAACGACAAAAACACAAATATTTCCGGATCGGGAAAATCCTCAGCCAGCAACAATAAAATGACTGTGGCATCTATTCAGAAGGCCTTCCATGACATTATTATAGATCCTACAAGTTTAGATGAGGCTGCACTATATTTATATCAATCACTGCTTGACGATGCTGTGGTGGGTGTGTTCCTGGAAGTACATCATTTACATAAGACTGGTAATCTAGAAGCACTCGATGGTGTTCCCGAAGAAGGTACGGATGCATCCTATCGCATCGTCGATATGCCAAACTATGACATTTTCGGCATTTCATCAGTTAAGAAACTAATGGATTGCACTTGTCCCAACTGTGATAGGCCAGTGTCAGCATCCCGCTTTGCGCCACACTTGGAGAAATGCATGGGCATGGGACGTAATTCGTCACGTATTGCCAGTCGGCGTTTAGCTACTAAGGAGGGTACAAGCGCCAGTTCCTCATCATCGTCATCGTATCTGCAGACTACTGTTGGAACGGATGACGAGGACGATATTGACTGGTCATCGGAGAAACGCCGAAAGAAGACTAATCAGAGTAACCGAAACAATGGTTCTAAGAAAAATAATGGCAAATCATTCTAGACGTTGAGGATAAACTGTAAGAGTATACAATTTACCATTTCATCTCGCATTCATTCTAAGTGCAGTAGAAATTTTGATTTGCATTAGTATATGCACTGAATATTGATTCCCTGGTGGTTATGAGCGCATGTACCTACTATGTAACCATGTATAAATGCAACATCAAGTAAAACCTGCGCTAAAAGATTCCATTTATAGTGTAAAAAATACATGTTTTTTTCTTAAATGCCTTGTATACATTCTACTAATTTATTCAAGATATTAAATAAATTGTGAGAAACGGAACTGCCGACAATGTGAATAAAAAAATGTTTAACTCTGCGGGTATGGGACTTTAATATTAAACCTAATCATAGGCTTGTTATGGATCCTCTAACAGGACCTTTTAATGATCGTCTTTGGGCGGACCTTCTATTCCCGTTGCTGTTTTGATAAGTATCCCCCTTTTCGGAAACGCATCACTGCTAAGCATACATAAGTCTCTTATTTCTAAAATATAAGTGATGAAAACGAGCAATATGCTCAACTACGTTTAAGTACCGAATTGGAACATTGTTGCGCAAATTGTGCATTTACATCAATTATATTCTGTGTTCGTATAGAACAGTAGCTTATGTCGAAAGGCTGGCTTTAGTATAATGCGGCATTCGCAGCATACTATTACGAATGACTCAATGGCGCCAATGCGTTGAAGAACTTTTGGCAAATAAACGTGCTGAAATAGTTCAGATACTAACAAGTCAATAATCCTATTAAGTCTCATCAAAAAATTCCTTATCCTTTAAAGAATAAAAGGGATGCCGCATTATACTAAAGCCAGCTACTCTTCTATACGAACACAGGTATTAATATTATAAATAAGAGACTGATGCTTGCTTTGCTTTGATGCATTTCCGACCAAGAGGTTAGTATGTAGTTTTTGGTGAATACTATGGGTTAGATTTTGTGGCAGAGCATTAGCGGCATACTAGGTTCTTTGCCCAGAAAAAAAAGTTAAAACAATAAATAACGGCTGAAAGTTTTGATTATATTCCCTAATACACTTTAAATTCCAATAGAAAATTAAGATCACCGATTGATTGTGTTTAAGATTATGTATTTAATTAAATTAATCAATGATGTACAGCTTATTGTAAACAAATTTTTTGAAATCTCAAAACATTTTAAGCGTATGTTGTAAGCCGTTTGATTTCAAAAAAGTTTGCGCTCGCAGAATAAATGTGATCAAATAAACCCACAAGCTCATTTGGTTTTAGTGAGTAAAGTTTTTTGTCCCTTGATTTTCGCCAATTGCATTTCCACTTCCTTTATGTACTTCTCCGGCAAGCAGGCATCCCGCATTGCCGCCAACTTTGCATCGATCACAGCGCGTATATTGCGATCACGTTGGCGTTCGCCCTCACGCCAATCTAAAGCTTGTGCGCGATCCAAATCGAGCAAGCGGCGACGCTCCAACTCTTTCTCGGTCATTTGCTTTATGATAGCCTGGCGATAGCACTCATTTTGACGCTCGCGCTGCGCTTCCTGCTGTTTCTGCTTCTCTTCATACTGTTTTACTTGCGCCATTAAGTGGTCAAAGTCTTTTTCGGCGCGCGCTATCTGCAACGCTTGCCTGTGTTTTGTTTCGCGCAATTGCCGCTCACGTGCTTCGGCCAATTCCTTTTCGATTTGTTTCTTGCGCAACGCTGCCTCCTTTTCTTTGCGCCGATACTCACGTTCGATGCGCTCCTGTTCGCGCATATAGCTCAGCTCTTCGCTAGCTGTCTTTGACTCCAACACCTTTTGCGCCAATATAAATATACGCTGCCGCTTACTTTCGGCCGCCTCGAGTGCCACCTTCTTTTCCAAAGCCAGTTCGCGCTCCTTCTTCTGCTTCTCACGCATATAGGCGGCCGCGCGCATATCAGCCTCGCGCTCCTGTTCGCACAGCATCTTGCGGAAAAGTGCTGCCATCTCAGTGATGCGATTCAACTCCTCGCGGAACTTCAGCTTACGTTCGCGCTGCAGCTTTGATTGGCGTTCATCCTCGACACGTGTGAGTTCGTTAGCTTTGCGTATACGCTTCGCTTCTTCCTCCAAGCGCTCCGCTTCCAGAAAGCGTAAATTTTCGCGCTCATGCAACTGGTTGCGTATCTCACAGGCATACTTCAGTTTCTCCTCTTTTTTCTTCTCTTCATTGGCGTCCTCCTTTTTGAGCGCGTCGGTGGCACGTTCCAGTACCATGCGATCCATACGTATCTCTTCGTCGCGCAATTCTCGTTGGAAATCTTCCTTTTCCTGTATCTGCGCATCGCGCACCGCCTGACACTTGGCATTCAATATGATGCGATTGACGCGACGCACCTCCTCCTCCTGCTCGTGTCTGGCAAGAAAAGCACGCTCTAGAACTTTAACTTTCTCACCAGCCCCGAAGAGATCTTCCTTCTCAGCATTTTCCTCCAGCGCCTTCTGCCGCGCATCATCAATTTTCTTGAAGCGTAAACGCAACTCCTCGGTCTCCCTTTCCATGCGATTGCGTTCCTCCTCTTGTTTTCTCAGCACTTCCAGTCGATCTTCAAGTGTAACTACCTTCGATGAATTCTTTAGGCGCTCCAGCTCCTTCTGAGTCAACATTGCTTGATTCTTATTAAATTTCTCCTTTTTAGATCCTGGTCGTCTGTGGAGCGTTTGCGGCGTGTAGCCCATGACTTTGAGAAACTCAGTGCATTCTTTGGTCAGCTTCTTGTTGTTGTGCGCAACAATGGCCGCCTTTACAGATTCATTTAATTCCGCCGTGGTAGCTGCGACCAGGCTGGTGTTGCTTACATGCGAGCGGTGTGANCATTCTTTGGTCAGCTTCTTGTTGTTGTGCGCAACAATGGCCGCCTTTACTGATTCATTTAATTCCGCCGTGGTAGCTGCGACCAGGCTGGTGTTGCTTACATGCGAGCGGTATGTTGTGGAGGTTTTAGCGCGCCTCCTCCCAGTATTTTCCATATGGTCTCGGACAAGACGTAAATTAGAGGCCGTAAAGCAAGGCATGCTTGCTCCTTTCTAAGCTCTATGTCAATGCTTTTAATGGATTATAGTGAAATGTTAAAAATATACGATAATTGCAATGCTTCCAAAGAAAAATTTTGAAATTTGTTTGAGTGGATGTTCGACTTGTTTTGAAAGCCAAAGGGAGCCCAAGTGAATAAAAAACCGTCTATGCCAGTGTAAGTCAACGGTTATTTTGTTAAACAGGCAGTAGTCATAGAGATGTGTGCGTAACACAGGCCAACGGTAATCGATTTAATAGCTCATTACGAAACTTTAAATAAACACTTCGATTGGGGGATAGGGAAACTGTATCAACTTCAGCAGAATTGTAGTATTTTTTTTGTTGTTGAGAGAGAAACATAGGGACTCTAATGTTTCCGTGTAAACACATAGTCGTCCATAGCGGTTGTTTGGTCGGAAACTGTTCCTCCCTGTTTTCCAATTTCAGTTCTCACAGTACTACAACCTCTAACTCCTTATTAAGAATTCCGTGAAATTCGAGAGTAATTTTGGTGGTAGCGGAGCTATATCATCGACTGAGCTTCGCCACGACACTTGCTCTGCCACAATGTCATCGTACCTACATTTGATGTGGCAGAGAATATTCCTGAATCGGCTGCTTTCTCTCTTCGGCGAGGAGTTACGATTTCCCTACATAGTCTCTGTGCACCGTCGATGCGGTTTCAGAGTAATCGGGTGAAGGCTTTTGCTCGCTGTGTCTAGCGCCAGTACTTTGGCTCCTTTTTTGTTAATTATTTTCCTTCTAGTTTATCAGGCAGCCTTTTCGGTGGCCAGGAAAAAGAAAGGAAGCAAGTTCTCTAGCTATATATGGAAGGCTTCGTCAAAATACACACTGAAGGCCTCTAACTGTAAACCAACCCCTATCGAGGACATCGCATTACTCCCTGGATGAGCGGAAACTGGAACTTGACACA